GGGACTCCAGGATCATGACCTGAGCCGAAGGCAGTCGCCCAACCAACTGAGCCACCCAGGCGCCCTAATTTTTTTTTTTAAAGATTTTATTTATTAGAGAGAGAGAGAACAGGGGAAGGGCAGAAGGAGAAGGGAGGCTGAGCAGGGAGCCTGTCCTCTGGGGATTGATCACAGGACCCTGGGATCATGACCTGAGCTGAGGCAGATGCTTAACCTACTGAGCCACCCAGGCACCCCAAATGTAATTGTTTTTTAATACAATCTTCTCTGTGGATTGTGTGATCCTATTTTTATTTTATTTCTGGTACCAAGTGGCTTTAAAACCATAGGTAAGAGTCATTTAGTCTTCATCTTCCACACAGAATCTTAAAATTAAAAAAATTAGTGGTACCTGGGTGGCTCAGTTGGTTAAGCGTCCGACTCTTGATCTCAGCTCAGGTCCTGATCTCGGAGTTGTGAGTTTATTATAATAATAATAAAAAAATAAAAAAAAATTTTTTTACAGTAGTTTTTATAGTTACTGACTTTTCATAGGTTGTGGGTGAATACTTTTTAAGTATACAATATGTGATTTTCTCTTGTTTTTATATCACCTATAGCCTTATTTTAACATTTCTTATAAATTAAATAGTGTTTAAAGATGTTGCTCAGACATGGCTTCTCCGTAATAGTATCTTCATTGGGTATATTGTGACTCGGTATCTAGATCAAAAATCTGCAGGTCTAGAAACTCTCTCAGTACAGATCAGAGTAAATCATGCTCACAAAAGACTTACTAATACACAAAAAATGTTATGTGGTAAACTTGCATGTGGCTTGAACTATTTGGAGTAACTTACGACATTCTCTTCCCAAAATCTATACTGGACCAAATTACTAGAGTACTGCTTTGGTAAAACTGGAATCCAAACAAAAGCAATGTCATAATCCTAAAGGTTGATACCATCAAATTATGATATTTGCTTTTTTTTTCCATTTTATTTATTTATTTTTATTGTTTTTTAAAGATTTTATTCATTTGAGAGAGACAGAGAGAGCACAAGCAAGGGGAGAGGCAGAGGGAGAGGGAGAAGCAGACTCCCCGCTGAGCTGGGAGCCAGACATGGGGCTCGATCCCCAGGACCTGGAGATCATGACCTGAGCCAAAGGCAGATGCTTAACCATCTGAGCCACCTATTACTGAGAAATAATTTACATATATCACCACATAAGTCTATGTTGTACAGCATGATGGTTTGATTTTTATTTATTGTGTAATGATTACCACAGTAGCTCAGCTAACATTTATCTTCTCATAGAGATACAATTAGAAAAAAGGAAAAATGGGGTGCCTGGGTGGCTCAGCCGTTAAGCATCTGCCTTTGGCTCAGGTCATGATCCCAGGCTCCTGGGATCGAGCCCCGCATGGAGCTCCCTGCTCGGCAGGAAGCCTGCTTCTCCCTCTCCCACTCCCCCTGCTTGTGTTCCTTCTCTTGCTGTGTCTCTCTCTGTCAAATGAATAAAATCTTTAAAAAAAAAAAAAAAAGTTTCTCCTTGTAATAAGAACCCTTAGGATTTACTCTCTTTCCTATATATCATATAGCAATATTAGCAATAGTCATCATGTTGTACATTACATCCCTGATACTTATAACTAGAAGTTTGTACCTCACATTTTTTTTTTTTAAAGTTATTTTTAGCTGGGGTGCCTGGCTGACTCAGTAGGTAGAGCATGAACTCTTGATCTCTGCATCATGAGTTCAAGTCCCATGTTGGGTATAGAGCTTACTTAAAAAAATATATATTATATATATATATTATGTATATTTTAGCTGTTTCCAGTAAAGAGCTATAACTTCTGTGTGGATTACAATTTTAGTTTTTTAAATGGCCTGGGATATTCATATTTGGAGACACAGAAATTCTTTGGTTTTCTTTTTATTAGACTTCATTAGACTTCTAGCCTTTTATGCTAACATATCTTTCTGTAATTGAAAATAAACTTGATTCAGTTATATTTGTCTTTTCCATTGAAATCCTGAGATTATCATCCTTTTTGGATTAGAATGTATCTCACATTTAGTCATTCACTAAACAATGATTTGGAAATAGTCATTCACAAAGTTTGGAAAAATCACTTACCTACTTTAGTTGTAATTTTAAAACAGGTTTTAAAACTTCACTATTAAAAGACTAGAAATTCCTGGGGCACCTGGGTGGCTCAGTCGTTAAGCATCTGCCTTTGGCTCAGGTCATGATCCCGGGGTCCTGAGATGGAGCCCGGCATTGGGCTCCCTGCTCCGCGGGAAGCCTGCTTCTCCCTCTTCCACGCCCCTGCTTGTGTTCCCCCTCTCTCTGTGTCTCTGTCAAATAAATAAATAAAATCTTTAAGAAAAAAAAGATTTAAAAGACTAGAAATTTCCATTCACCTGATTTCTGAGTACAACATAGACTATTTCCAAGACTATATAGAAATCTTGAAAGGAAAGATAGAAAGTAACCCTTAAAATTTTCTCTTCCACTGATTGTATGTAAGTGAAAGTCAATATAAGCAGATCTTCAATGAAAATATTAGTAGGATTCATTTAATTAGCAGATAGTGATAACTTACTAGCGTTAGCTTATGAAATTAGGATTGTCTCAAAATCTTGGACCCATATCTATGATAATACCTAATGTTTCAAAAAACACACACACACAAAACTTTTACCCCTTTATCAAGTAGTATTTGACAAGTAACTTATCAATAACTTGAGTTTTCCAAGTTTGTGATACTTGAATATCAAAGTATATAAAAATATCGATTTGTACATAAATAAGGTAAATTTTATGTGAATAATGGCATTGGTTTTTGATATAAAGCCCAATGTTGACTTTCTTTAATTCCTATTCTCTAAGCTTTTGATTATTAACAAGGAAAGACTATCAAAATTACTGGAGGTGTTTTGTGTTTTTCCAAATCATACATGTGTTCCCTCCTTCCAGGCAATTGTTGCCTATAGAGTTAAGAAGCTACTGCTTAAAATGTGTTTTGTTGATAGTTGAGTTGTGTTTATTTTGCTTTTTCAGAATGTCATTGGATACAGGGACTGTGTGAGCTAGATTTTAAATATCCAGATAGTTGTCTCATTGTTGTCTAGCTATTGGTTTGGAAAATAATGCTCACTATAGTTAAGTAATTGAACAAGGATGGTTGTTTTTAACAGATTAGAGCTACTGGCTCAGAAGTAGTAAATCTAGGCTCCTTCACATTTTTTCTGTAGAATTAGTTTTTGTAAAAAACATTTTTTTGAGATATAATTGACAAATAGCATTATGTTAATTTCAGGTGTACAGCATAATTATTTGATATTTGTTTTTATTGTGAAATAACCCCTACAATAAATCTAGTTAACATCCATCACCACATGTAGTTAACAAGGTATTTTTTCTTGTGATGAGAACTTTTAAGATCGACTCCCAGCAATTTTCAAATATACAATACAGTATTTTTTTTTTTTAAGATTTTATTTACTTATTTGTCAGAGAGAGAGGGGAGCAGCAGGCAGAGGGAGAAGCAGGCTCCCTGCTGAGCAGGGAGCCCAATGTGGGACTTAATCCCCAGGACCCTAGAATCATGACCTGAGCCGAAGGCAGATGCTTAACTGACTGAGCCACCCAGGCATCCCTACAATACAGTATTATTAAGTCATGTCACCATGCTGTATATTGCATCCCCAGGACTTATTTTATAATTGGAAGTTTGTGCCTTTTGACTATCTTCACCCATTTTGCCCACCCCCCCCCTTAGTTTTCTTCTAATTAACAAATTATTCACATATTATATACAGCAGTCATGTTGTTTTATTCTCCACAGGTATGTTTGCAATTCGTGCTGATCATGATTTTGTAGTACAGGAAGACTTCATGAAAGCAGTCAGAAAAGTGGCTGATTCTAAGAAGCTAGAGTCTAAATTGGACTACAAACCTGTGTAATTTTCTGGAAGGTTTTTGATGGCTGCATGACAGATACCGGGCTTAATGTAAAAATAAAGTTAAGGAAAATAATGTATGTATTGGCAATGATCTCATTAAATACATATGAATAAAAATAAGTATGAATAACATTGTAAAAATTAGTAATTCAGTAATTCTACTTTTAAGATTGGTACAGAAGAAATTTGTATGTTTGTTAATGTTGCATTTATTGCAGCAGAAGTTATAAGACTATGTTAAAGCTTTTCGTATTTGCTGTGTGAGCATTTTGTAAAACATTAAAAGTAGTTTGAAATAGTACAAGAGAGCATTTCTTACGACTTATTTTATATCATTTGTTTTCCTCATCCTAAAAAGTTGAATAAAATCTGTTTGATTCAGTTCTCCAACACATATTTTTGTCTTTTTTAAAAGTACATTTATTATAGTCCTTTAAATTCTTTAGTAAATAAACTATTTAATAACCAAAATGAGTTGTATTTAGATGATGGGCTTTTGAATTTTAAAACTGTACCCACACTCAGTGTTCCTAAGAGTTGTTATACAAAGCATAGACGTGAATGTCTATATTGATAATGGAAGGTCTTTGTTTACTCTTCACCTACTATGATTAGGCTGTGCGATAGTTAATTGAAAAAGTACATGCACATCCATAACCTTTTTTTAGATTATGATTAAAAGTAATATTTGCTAACAAATGTGACTTGGTTTTCTTGATTTATGTGAGATGATCGTTCCCTTTTTAGAATGTTAAGGTCTGGACCCTCTTCCCAGAAAAAGTCACACATACATACACACAATTTTGCATATACTAAAAGGAGATTTATTATTTCCCAAGCTCACCCATTGACTGTAGGTATCTATGGATACCAAGCTAAGAGTGTCTGATGTAGGGGATGTTGATGTCAGAAATGTTCAAAGCAAAAGTTCTGTTACCTACACACAATTCTTTTCATATCATGTGGAATTAAAGCCTTAACAAATTAAAATAGGAAATCATCATTGGGCATCAATTGAGATCTTATTAAAGGTGCTGTTTAAAAAAAACCAAATTGACTTCAGTTTAATAAAGACTAAAGAATGTATGATATATGATGTGGGTAATTATACAATCATTCTTCAAATTAAAAACTTACTAGCAGAGTATAGTGTGTCTTTTTATAACTTTAAGAGGTAGAGAACAATTTTCATAGTGGTAGAGAAAACGGAGCACTCAAGCTAACCATCAAATAAATTACTGAACAAGTTCTATTTCTATATATGTTGGCAGTATGTTTCATAAAAATGACAATATAAAAATAATACGATGTTTGTCAAGGGGGTCTTGGTCAAATATCCATGTGATTCTTTTAACTTTATTCATTGTAATTAGCAATTTCGTTAATGACTTTCTCACCTTTCTACTTTGGTGTTTTGTTTTTTTTTTTTTTTTAAAGAATCAGTTTGGTTTACAAATCTTGAAAGTTTAAGTGTGGATTCTTCTGCTTCTACGTTTGGTTTTCCTCATCTGTTTAAAAATAAAAAGGGTAACTATCTCCCTAGGCCCAGAGAAAGTACCCTGTACCTCACCTCTATTTATAATATAGTATTAACAGACTCAAACTCCTTTTTTAAAAGATAATGAAAGCCATGTAGTTTAATATATATAATTATATATAATATTAATATTTCAATATAAACTTAGAATGAAAGGGAGAGAGCTTTCTTCAGTATGATGTATATACTGAGTGAACTATCAGTTGTTTCTTGTTCTTAGGATTTTCTATTTGCCATTGTTTGAGATTTTCTAGTCATGTTCCCAAGTATTAAAAGTCCACCGTTTCAGTTTGCTTAAAAGTGATGGGTGTTTCATTTTCTGTGTAGCGTAACATAGTTTTAAGATGAACTCTTCATTTATTACTCTTTTGGTTATAACCTCACCACAGATTGCGCCAGGATTCTGAGGGAAGAAACTACAGTTTTCCTTTCGGATGCCAGTTTCTGGTGGCTATATGTTTTACCCGTTCTTGTGCTACAGAAGGGATTTGCGTCCTGTCTGGAAAGGGCAGAGATGGTCTGGTTTCCCACTGCCTTTCCCAGGACATTCAGTCGTTCCCTCCCTCCTGCCGCAGCCCCACCTCCTTCACACCCGGTGAGCTTCGGCCGTTTCTCCTCCGAGGCCCCGCCCCCTGCGTCTGCGCTCTGGCAAAGGGGCGGGGCGGCGGCGCGCTGACACCTGGCGGCCGCGGGGGGCGGGCCGAAGGCAAGCGTGGGCTGGGATTGGCTGGGGCAGTGCGGGGAGGGCGGGGGAAGGAGGGGAGACGGTTGTAGGGCTTTTGCTTGTGCCCGAGCCTGTGCGGCCTGAGGGGCGCGGAGACTCAGGGGGAGGGAGACGGTAGCAGCATGGCGGCAGGGTATGAGCCGCCCAACCCTCCTCTTCCCCGCTGTCGCCGCCGTCGCCGCCGGAATCGCTGGGACCCTTTAGTCTGCGTGTTTTAGTTGTAAGCCCGCTGCCCGCCCGTCAGTCCTCCGGTCCACCCGCCCTCCTTCCTTTCTCTGCCACTGGCAGCCCGAGGGTCGGGCGGGCCGGGTAACTCCCACTCCCACCCCACCCACAAGCCCCGGGGCCGGGACCATGGAGGACGTGAAGCTTGAGTTCCCCTCGCTCCCGCAGTGCAAAGACGACGCCGAGGTGAGTCTGTCCGGCGACTGCCACGCACAGGCCTCCCCGTGTGGCTCCTCGGCCGCGGGGCGACCCCAGGCCCCAACCGTCGAAGTCTCCAGCTCCACCGGAGCCCTGTTGCCTCCTGAGACCGTCCTGGGACCTCGGGGAGGAGCGTCCCGCTCTGGGGCGGTGTGCTTTGACCCTCACTCACTGAGCACCTTTTCCCCTCCTGAGATCCTGCGGAGGGGCTGCTGGGTCTGGTCGACTTAATTAAATGGGAAGGGCAAAAGCAGCCGTTTCTCCCCCAGGCTCGGTGTCTAGAACTTACTTTGAGTAAGGTTCCCCATTTTATTGACAAGGCAGTACGAGGGTAATGTTTTAAATCTCCATTTGAGGTATATTTTTGGTGTCATCGATTCGCTTGTGGGACACATGGCCCCACATGTGAAATAGATCTGGGGCCTGAACTTTCGAAGTGCACCTTCAAAAAGTTTTCCAAAGTAGTTGTTTTGTTTTTGTTTTTTTGAGGCAAAGCCTTGGCCCGCAGAATAAAATGTCACAAAGCTAGCACATTTGAATCTAAAAACTTGCCCTTTGGAGGGGAGTTGATACTGAGAATGAAATTCTTTATAACCTGTTCTCCTGATTTCTAAATCGGGATTCTTTGTACTCCACCTTACTTCTTCTTTGCCTAAAGTTTGTATTGAGTGTTTTCCCCCCATCTATTGCTAGTTTAAAATAAAATGGTGTTACACTCTACTAAATTAGAATTTTCTGAAGACTAAATTAGTAACGAGACAAGGATACTCAGGAGAAAAAAAAAAGACCAGGATACTCGGTTATGCTCTAGTAGGATCAAGAAAGATTAAAATTTCTAGTTCTAAATACCTTAAAAATAATTGGAAAATAAGGCTGTATTTTTAAGAAACCATTCAGTTTATACCAAATATTCTTTTGAATATCTTTTGGGGTTCTCATTTTTTATTTGGAGGGATCCTTTGTGGTAGTAGTCTTTCAGTATTTCATATTTTAAGAGTAGGCTGTTAAATAGAAAAAAAAGTTGAATTTAGGTTATTTAAAAAAATAAATTTACACTTTTTTGTTTAATATGGAATAATGTGAATGAGGAATATGCTTTTTTCCTTAAAACGATCCAGTGATTTCAGTCTGGAAGCAACCCTAAGACATAGTGTAGAGCATTCTCTCTTTTCAGGTGAAGAAATTGTAGCTTACTAAGAATAAGTGATATGCCAAGGTAACAGTAGTGTAAGACACAGTTGAGAACCTTGGTCTCTTAATTCCTAAAACATTGTTTTTAATGTATCTCAATTCTTCCCTTCTCTGATGTTAAAAATTCTAGTTTAAAATGTTTACAGACTTGCATTTGATCTTTTATTATGTATGTGTCTTATTCCTGTAAAAATTATAAAATCTTAACTGGGAATATAGCTTTCCTCTGCAAGGACAGAAGTAATGCTTAAATCCTAGTAGATAATGATGCAAATACTATTTACTGAAAGCCAGTTCATTCCTTTTTTCATAGCATTGGATGTTTGTTTTCTTTTTGGTTGCAAGTGACAAAAACCAACTCAGACTAGCTTAAACAAAAGGAGAAGTAAATCCAGAAAGGTAGGGGTGCAGCTGGTCTCAGGGACTTGACTAGACTGTATTATAATGCATCAGAACTGCCTCTGCTTTCTCTCAGGGTTTCTGCTTGTACTCTGGCTTCTCCACAGATAAGGAGTTTGACTGTCAGTTCCTTCAAGGTCACACCCTTACAGAGCTTACACACTGAGGAGTAGTATCTCTCTAAGCTTCACAGGATTGGCTTAACCTAGCTCATGTGCCATCCTTTGGATCAGTCCCTATAGCCAGAAAAGGGCGAATACAATGAGGAGCCCAGACTCAACTTCTATGGCCACGGGAGTGAAGTTCATCATTGGTAGCCCTCCTACCAAAACCATAGGAGCATTTCCACAGAAGATGGGGGTTGCTTTCTGGGCAGACAAAACTATAAATAACCATTAAATAGGGCATATAGTTACTCACGATAAACTAATAAAACAGAATGTTAATTTTCTTTTTTTTTTTAAGCTTTATTTATTTGAGAGAGAATGAGATAGAGAGAGCATGAGAGTGGGGAGGGTCAGAGGGAGAAGGAGACTCCCCGCTGAGCAGGGAGCCTGATGTGGGACTCGATCCTGGGACTCCAGGATCATGACCTGAGCCGAAGGCAGTCACCCAACCAACTCTGCCACCCAGGCGCCCCAGAATGTTAATTTTCTAATATCCCATGAGATTTAATGGTCAAATGGTCTTACACAGTTACGGTGACCAGCCAATAAAATGTTCTTCCATCTAGGAAGCATTTCATGGAAACCTAAATTACAATCCAAATCTTGTTTTTGTAAAATGGAATTCAAGTAGAGAAATTTTAATGCATGCTCTTAATGATTGATGTGATCAATCTTTGACAGCTTGATGATCCTGTCACCTCTGTAAGAATATTACTTCCACATTTCTTGAAATACTAGTCGGGGCATTCTTTTAGGACAGTCCTAGCAAAAATTTAACTGTTCAGATTGGTTTGCAAAAAGATTGTCACTCCTTTGTTTAAAACTTTGCTGTGATTTCCCATTGATTTAAGGATGAAGTTCAAACCCTTAACGTCTGCAAGGTTGTGTGTGATCTGCCATCTGCCTGCCTTTCTAACCTCATTATGAGCTACTCTTCCCCTTGCTCCCTTC